TATTTTTGGGCTCTCAGCCAGTTTGAGCCGAGAATTGGTAAAGAGAGTTCCTTTTAAGTTGTTTGCCGGTCGTCTGTTTAACGAGCGGAGAATGGGGGACAGAACACATTATATATGCAGTACCTCTGTAAAAATAACACAGGAGGGACCAGCGATTTTAATTTTAAAGCACAATAGAATCTAGCATAAAGAAACACTTGAATAATAATAGATGGATTTCCCAGGATACCCAACTGAGAAATTTCTATCTCATTAGCATAAAATAATACCACAGTGCTTGTTTGGCAAAGAAGTATTTTAGTCTTTCACAAGATAATATTAGTAGTTCTCATTTTCTGAAAAATGATTTGCAATTTTTGTTTAAATCAAAAAGATTGGCATGAAAGTATACCACTGTTGTACTATCAAAGAACAGTATTAATAAGATTAGCAAATATACATTCTAACTATATAAAATTAAACCTGTTTGTGTCCAGGGAAATGTTAAAACTGGGCAAATGGATTTCAAGAAATTGGTCTTTTGCTAAATAGAGTAATATTGTGGAACTCTCTAGCAAAGAACAGAAACTACTTGCCTATGATAAACAAAAGCTCCATAGCAGATTTTATAGAGATCTGTATCTATAGGTTGTATCAATTATAAATGTCCACATATGAGGAAGATGAAGCAAATGACGTCACATGGTGTTGTGACTAATGACAACTACAAAATTCATGATGTGACTTGGAATAGACTATATAAGAGCAACAGTGGAAAGTACTACATTATATTGTTGAGACAGGAATTTCGGGAAGAGAGAACATTATTTAGAAGGTGGAATATTACATAAGTTTAAGATTGTGATCGCAGGGCTTGTTTATTTGTTTAATTATTTGATTTGATTTCTATAGCCGCCCATCTCAGCAAATGACTCTGGATGGCTTGCAATTCAAAACATATACTACAATTAACATTTTAAAACAATAAAATAGTAATAATAATCAGTAAAATAGTAAAAACATTAAAATGTCTAATTCAAAGTGCATACATAAGCAAGATATCTGGCCTTTAATAACATAGCCAGGAGGTGGGGTCCTTGGCACATGTAGTACCCCAGGCTTGGGAGCACCAAGTCAGATCTTTTAAAGCTTTATGGAATGCTAACGGGGTTGGCCTCTTTGAAGAGATGATGTTCCACAGAGCAGAAAAAGCTTGTCTTCTACTGCCTGTCACTTGACGTTTTTTGACTGACGAGATCTGCAGCATGTCCATGTCCAACTGATCTAATTGGATGGGTAGAAACTCTTGGAAAAAGGCGATCTCTCAGGTTCCTAGCCATGTAGGGCTTTACCAGCACCTTGAATTGCATCTAGAAATGGTAATCAGCTCATCACATAGGAATGGTATTCCATGTGCCATATATTACGCACCTGTTATGACCCACATGGCTGCATTCAGCACCAATTGAAGTTTCTGAATGGTCTTCAAGGACAGCCCAATGGAGAGTATGATACAGTAATCTAATCTGGTGGTTAAAATGTTGTGAATTACTGTGAGCAGGGCCTCCTGGTCCAGGTATGGGCACAATTGGCACACACCCCAAAAGTGTGCAAAGAACCTCCTAGATATGGCTGCTGCCTGCTCTTTGAGCAGGAGTCATGAGTCCAGAAGGCCCACCCAGACTGTGCACCAGGTCTGTTTGGGGCAGTGCCACTCCATCCAAAACCAAAGATGGAAATCCTTGTATCTGGAGTATCCAAATATCCACAGCCACTCCATTTTGCTAGAGTTGAGTCAGAGTCCATTTCATCCCATCCAATCCCCATAAGACATTCATGGCATTATAAAACGGGGCTTTTTTTTTTTTTTGAAACAAACTTTATTTTGAACTGGGTCCAAATTAGTGTAGTTTGATTTTTCAGCAAAAAGCCAATAGCCAGAAATCTATAGTCTATCTAATCCTTGCCATGCACCATATCCTGGAATGTCTTTTTTTAAAGTTATTTAAAAATATTATGTATAACGAATATTAGGAAAGTATTGGGAGATCACAGGATCAGCTACCACTCTACTCCACAAGGAAAAGGAAAATCTAATTAATTACTACCTGCTAATAGTATGTGCCTTCACCATTCCCTTTCCTCTTGCCATTTGTTGAATGGGAAAATAAAATGGCCCCTGAAATTACCTCAGCTATAAAAACTGAACTACTCATATGCAACAGTATCTTGAAAAGTACCGCAAGTGAAATAGGTCTCTTGTCTTTTTATCTCCTAAATTCTTGGCCTGAGGTACAAAAATCTGCTTTTCAGATGTACCAGAAGGCTGTCTCCTACAAATTAATGTACAATAATCAATAGTACCAGTAGTCCACACCACTGTTTGTGACATAAGCAAATCATCACTGCATTCCATATCTCTCAAATCAAATGAAATTTTCCCTGTTGAACAGGACAATTTATACGGGATTAACCACAAGGAAGACAGATTGGAGAGGAGACAACATAAATACAAATGTAAGCTCATTTCAAATTTCTCTTCTTTTTGTACTTCCCTCTTTAAAAAATTCAGTTGCCACATATTGATGCCACCATTTGCAGCCACAACAAAAAGAACAAAAGCCACAACGCAAGGAAAAAAAACCCTCAATGCTATTGTATTGTTAATATTAAGCCTTAGATAAATTGTTTCAGTTTCTCCACTCACAAACAGTCGTAAGAATTTCAACAATCATTTGCTGTAAAAAAAAAATTATGACCCCCAAGAAAAGAAAGGTTCCCTCAAATCTTAGGGAAAATGTACTCAACTTACCGCAATGGCTTGAACTGTAGCTAGATAAATAAGAGCAAGATCATCAATACTTTGAGACAGTGTCAGTCCCACTACCTGAAGAGAACAAGAACATGTATTTTTGTATTTACTAATTTCTTTTCCAAGAGAAGATTCTAATAAATTGTATCACAGAAGTAATTTATGGATTTCATTATCCCGTTGCCTGGTAATAATCTCTATCTTGAATTGCTTGGATTGGATAAATGTAAGAATACAGATCCTTAAAAATTCATTCTTCTTGAGGATTTATTGTTACTTCCAAGTTGGGAAAATAATGCTTCCGAATGCCAGTTGTGAGGCGCCAACACAGATACTGGGTAAATAAACTTGCCTTTTTTGTGAATGGGAACTGAAAACTGAGACAGATATAAATTTAATGTGTTTTGAAGGAAATCAGTTAGCATTTCTCCTTGCTTATTTTGTTGCAGTTTAACTTCAAGCACTATGCATTTTCCTATGAAAGCAGTATAAACATAAATCAAAGTCAGCAGTTATCCCAAAAACAAAAGAGTTATTGTCATCTAAAAATCTAAAAAGCATGCCATCTTTAGGTTTTAATATGTGGACCATGAGGTTGAATTCAGTGACTAACAAGTGAACATCACTTTTTTGCTATGTTTTGAGTACTGGAGAGTAAGTACAACAAAAATATTTGAAAATTCATGTACCCTACCTTTACCTTTACCATATGTCTCTTCAAATATGGGTCTTATGAGCCACAAATATAGCATTCAACTTTGATGCAGAAAATATTTTTTGTGGAAAGTAGAACATAGAATAAAATAGACTAGCAGGGCTGGAAGGGACCTTGGAGACTTCTAGTCCAACCCCCTGCTTGAGAAGAAGACCATATACCATTCTAGACAAATGGTTGTCCAATCTCCAGAAGTTAGGCATTTGTGAAAGGGTAATGCTTGTAAATGGAAATGCTTGAGTACAGAAAGAAAATGGCAGATGAGGTTTGAATCCATATATTAGTAAGAAATACAGTGGTTCAACAGTTTTATACTGAAATTCATGTTTTTTACCAGGATGAAATTCTCTCTCTTTGTCTAAATCTTCATATGCTCAATAAAGTTTTTCCAATGTTTCACATAGACTTACTATATATACTTCCCACCCTATGTAGTTTCACAAAACAGCCTCTTGTCTCTGTAGACATATCATATTCTTCTATGTCTTTAACTGCATTTTTGCTGTTATATTCAGTAGCAATTATACTTTGGAATTTGCTGCTTATCAAACCTCTGCAAACTTTAGATAATTCTATAAAATCATATAAGACTGCAAAATTAAATAATAGCAACAAAAGTTTTATATGTATACGTAAAAACATATATTAATGATAATAGAATTACATATAACTTTTGTTTTGTTTTGCTTTTTCATCTTTTTCAATTTGGATGTCAACAATCATTTTGGGAAGACCATTCTGTAGAATTTTCAAATAAAAATGCTAAAAATATTAAAATAAAAATGCTAATTTCATGGTCTTATTTTATACAATTATTCCATATTCACCCTTTTACAACAACTGATTGTTTCTTACCATGCCCTTTAGAGTCAAATCTGCAAGGGGAGATCGGTTGCCATGGAAATCTGGCCAAACATGTAAATCAACAGTGAGCAAACCCAGAGGCAAAGATTTCTTAATCAGATCCAGGTGACCATTCAAGTATGTATATACACTTTGAGCTCTGCAAGAAAAACAAGTTAAAAAAGGGGGAGTGAACTGAGCTGGGGGAGAAAGGTTATTCTCTGAACATATTGCATGATTTGGACTCCTAATAAGAGATACACAAATTAGGAAAGCCTTGCAATATGAAACTGTAAAGGAATGAAGAAAGAGAATAAAAAAATAAAACTGCACTATAATGCTAAACACAGTTGGCTGTCACCAAGTCTTGTTCAGAATTAGATTCTCAAATTGCAAAAGGTTAACTGAGTCTTAATGACATTTTATATTGATATATATTCAGTAACTATTCTATTAGAAGTTTAAGGACTGCTATCTTTGGGTCCTGTGCTTGTCTTTTGGGGTATTGGCTATTCCTGCCAGCTTAGTGTCATCTGCAAACTTGATGAGATGAGTTCCCCTTCTATATCCTCATCTAAGTCGTTTATGACTATATTGAAGAGTACTGGGCCTAAGAAGAACCTTGTGGTACTCCAATGCTTCCCTCCTTCCATGTAGATTGTAGTATCATTAAGGACTACTCATTGAGTACAGTTTGTCAGCCAATTACAAATGCATCTCCTGGTGATGCTGTCTATATCACATTTTTCTAACATACCAAGAAGTAGGTTGTGGTCTACTTTTTTGAATGCCTTGCTAAAGTTTAAGTATATTATGTACACAGCATTTTGCTGGTCTACTTATTTAGTCACTTTGTGAAAGAATGAAATTAGATTGGTTTGGCATGATCTGTTTTTAACAAACCCATGCTAGCTTTTAGTTATAACTTTATTTATTTCTAGATGTTTGCAGATCTGTTTTTTGATGAATTTTCCCACTATTTTCCCAGGTATTAATGTTAGGTTGATTGGTCTGTAGTTTCCTAGCTCTGGTTTTTCTCCTAGGTGCTGCTTGGAGTGTCCAAGCATGTGTTAACTTCAGCTTGCTGCCCAAGGACTGAGTTCAAAGATTGTGTAGCCATGCCTCTTGCTCCCCTCAGAGGCTCAGTTTTAAAAAACTCAGTCGCCCTAAAAGGACGCAGTTGGGGAGCTCCAGTTCTTGAACAGCAAGTTGGACTCTCCAAACAGCTTAGTGTAGCCTCTTTTCTTATTTTTGTGTTTAGAGTGTAGATTAGGAAACATTAGGTTTTCTTATTTTCTCCTTTCAATTGAAAACTTCCTTCCTATAGTCTTCTGAAGCACGGAATAGGCAGCTTGAAGCGCGGCTGCCTTCCGCGACCACCGCAGTCGAGGCACCACCAAGAGGTTCATCAGCGGCCGCTAGCGAGCTCTGGGAGCAGGTAGGTAGGTTAGGGATCCTCCAAAAGCTGTCGGAGGGCTGTTTTTAGCCCCGGAGGCTCTACTGAGCCCTCCAGATTGCCGACAGCTCCCCAGTGCACTCCAAAGCTTGCAGCGGTCATTTTGAAGGGAAAAAAGTGGCACGCTTTATTTTTCAAGCTGTTTGAATTGCTGCAGCCTGGTTCCACAGCAGATAGCAGCTGGGAGGGCTTCTTAATATTGGGATTTCGCTCTGGGGCTCCAGGCAGGTCCCCCCCCTCCCCAGGAAGCCTATTAAGAGTGACTGCAGGGAGTTTGGCTTTTCTCTGGCCATTCCCTGCCTTATTCCAGCGCAGATCTGCAGCGCCTTGGGACTTCCAATTTTGGCACCAAAAAAATTGCTCGCTGTTATTGATCCCTGCCGAGCCCCATTTCCTCAGGATTTGGACTGAATTAAAGGGCCTATTATCCAAAGCTGTATCACATACAGGGAGAAATTACAACCAAGATGTGATAGGGCTGGAAGTCTACCATGGCCAGCAAGTGTGGCTGAAGTCAAGGATCAAACTGAGTCTACCTCTAACAAGCGCAGCAGGCCCAACCCTGCTGCTAAAGGGGACAGTGCAGGATGCTCTGCAAAGGGGAACAGCCCAAAGCCAGGAAGGTCTCAAAGGCTGCAGAAAGGTTGGCTGAGAGGAGACAGAAGGTCCTGGAGAGACAGTTTCAAAAGGCAGTTAGTGCCCAGGCGCAAACTGTTCAAGTCAGGGAACCACCACCAACTCAGGTTCCTGCAGACATCGCCATAGTGGATATTCCACGGGAGGGCTCTCCATCTCTGGTGGACGAAGGGGACTTTGGTTTTTCGCCCAACCCTTCCAGGGCATCCCCCAGGTCTCCTGATTCCTCCCTAGAAGAGGTGGACAGGGAGGAGGCCTGCTCTCTAATGGGGGAGGAGTCTCCCCCTTCTGGCCCTATTTCTGGGACCACTCCTGAGTTATCCCAAGCGATTCAGGAGGTGGTTGCATGGGTGATATCACAGGGGATGGCAGATGGCATCCAATAGCTGGGTCTCACCTTGCCCCTCCAGAACAAGGCTAAAGCTAGGATGCAGGCCACAGGAACTCACGCTCAATCCACCGGAGCCTCCTCTCCTGCTTCCTCTGCTGTCAGCAAGGTGTCTGAAGATGAGGAGGGTGGAAGGACGAGGGTGATCTGTCGGAGGACAAGAATCCAGTCCCCGATGCCCCTGCTTTCTCTGCCTTATTCAAGCCTTCAATGTTTAAGGCCATTCTGCCCAAGGCTAGGGTTTCATCCATTCAAATGGGATTCCCCTCTCAATCCGACAAGACTGCCACTGAACAGGGTATCAAGGAAACGGTCGGATCAGGGGATCCAGGCGCAGGTCTCTTTAAGGAGACCATCCCCCTCAGGAGCTGGTTCTGGCACCACAGCTGTTCCTGGATGTTATCCAGCGACAATGGGCCCAGCCTGGGTTGATGGCTAATCCCAGTGGGGTGGATAAAAAGCTCTACTCTATGGAGAGTGGCATGGAGGATCTCCTGAAGCTTCCTCAAGTAGATGACCCCATAGTAGCGCTAACCTCCAACTCGGTCCTTCCAGCCGACCTATTGGAGGGACTCAAAGCGGAAGACAAGAAGGCAGAGAAGGCCTGACATAAGACTCACATGGCCACTGTGTGGGCCATGAAGGCCTCCTCCTCTTTCTACTTCAGCAGGGCAGCCCTATTTTGGCTCCACAAGTTGCTAGCCAACTTCCCTGCCGGAGACACTACATCACGCCAAGACATCAACAAAATTATTGCAGCGGTGGAATATTCAGCCGACGCTTCCCTTAGCGCCACCAAATTTTCCTCTAGGGCTATGGCATCTAATGTGACCACATGCCGTCTGCTGTGGCTTCGCCACTGGAAGGCAGACATGAAGGCGAAGTGGAAGTTGGCCTCAGCCCCTTTCAAGGGTGGTAAGATTTTGGTGAGGCCTTGGACAAACGCAAAATCTTACCAGCAGTTACCGCAAGGGTCATTCCTTTTTTCGTAGACAGCCCTTTTGGAACACTGACTGCCCCTCCACATCTGGGGGATTTACCAGATTCTATCCCCAAATGCAGGACCGCTCTCAGGATAGGACATCCTTCAGGGACAAAACCAGGCAACAGGGTAACCACAGACCCTTTCGAGGAGGATTCTCCAACCGCTCCTTTCGCAGAACCAAGTAACCGTCACCGGTCACCTCCCATTGGGAGTCGGCTACAGCTCTCCGCCGCCCAGTGAGAGGAGATAACGATGGACACTTGGGTACTGAACACGATCCGTCATGGCCTTACCTTAGACTTGCTTTCCTTCACGGACCTTCATCTGCTGCCCCCTCCCACAAGCTACAATTGATGCAGGCAGAGATCCGGCATCTACTGGACATAGCGGCCATAAAGCAGATGCCCCGGGGTCAGGAGGGCAGAGGATTTTACTTGATCCTCTTTTTAGTTCCCAAAGCCTCGGGAGGGGTGAGAGCCATACTGGACATCAAGAAACTCAACATCCATAGAGTGTACAAGCGCTTCAAAATGCAATCACTCCAGACCATCTTGGGTTGCATCAGGCAGGGCGACTTCCTGACATCAATCGACCTGAAGGAGGCATACCTGCACGTTCCCATTCATCCAGCTCATCGCAAGTTTCTGAGGTTCCAGTTTGCAAACCAGCATTATCAAGACAAGGCTCTTCCCTTCAGCCTATCATCGGCCCCCAGGACGTTCACCAAACTTCTGGCTGCTGTCGCCACACATCTCAGATCTCATCCAGTAAGACTCGTTTGTTATCTGGACAACATCCTGCTGATGTCATTGTCCAGGGAGCAGGCATGTCGAGATCTCAACATCACCATCCACGCACTACAGCAACACGGTTTCTCCATCAATCTGGAGAAGAGCCACTTGGAGCCTACTTCCAGGATTCAACACCTGGGCACTGTGATCGACTCCAGAACTTCCAGGGTGTTCCTCACACAGGAGCGGAGGGACAGCATCACATCCCTTGTGCATCAGATCAGTAGATCCAGGTCAGCACTTCTAGTGACTCTATCCCAGTTACTGGGGAAGCTGATCTCGTGCATCGCTGTAGTTCCTTAGGCACGGTTCCTTCTTCCCATTCAGCGGCGCTAGGTCAGCAACTCCAAGAGAGTGGTCAGCATTCCCCCAAAGGTGCTCCGGTCGCTCGGGTGGTGGCAATCTTTGGTGCTGACGAGAGGGTCCCTCTTCAAAGAACCATAGCACCTGGTTATAACAACAGACGCCAGCTTGTATGACTGGGGCGCCCACCTACAGACACAGGGCAGATGGTTGCAGGCAGAGCTCGCGCACAACATAAACTGGCTGGAGCTCAGAGCCGCCAGACTAGCCCTGCACCACTTCCGTCGGTTCGAGGGTTCCCATGTCCTCATACTGACGGACAACATCACCACCAAGGCCTACATCAATCACCAGGGCAGAACTCGATCAACGGTCCTGATGTTGGAGGCGGAGGCTATAGGACCATGCGAAGAGCATCACCTCAAGTCCTTGAGAGCAGACCACATCTCGGGGCAGGACAACATGACAACAGACTGGCTGAGCAGAACGACCATCAGCAACTCGGAATGGCAACTTCACCCATCTCTGTTCTACCAGCTGACCCAGAGATTCAGTCTTCCGACAATAGACCTGTTTGCCAGTCCTGAGAACATTCACCTCC